GCCGCCGCCGCCGACCACCTCAGCTTCCGCAAGGGCGAAGTGCTGCAGCTGCTGGGCACCGTGGACGAGGACTGGATCCGCTGCTGCCGCGGCGGCGCCACGGGCCTGGTACCCGTGGGCTACACGTCGCTGGTGCTGTGAGCGGGCGCGGGCGCCGCTCTGCTCCGCACGGCCCCGCGCACCCTGCGCTGTCCCTGCACTCTGTAAATAGCCACTGCCCAAGGAACCCGCTCATTCCGGGGAACAGCTGGAAATAAAGATTGTGACTCCTGTGCACCCGGGTCATTGCGGCTCCATCCTGGTGATCCTGGGCTCGCTGAGCTGCCTGGTCCGAATCCAGGAAAGCCGAGAGCAGCAGGGTCCGAGGGTCTGCTTTAGAGCCCRACACTCGTTTGCGACCAAACTCCACGGTTCACCCTTGGAAAGTGCCCCATTTCAGGGGCAAAGGCACTGCCTTCTGCTCCAAAGCAGCTCCTGTTTTACCCGGTTCTCCTCCGCGGACACGCCTGCTGTGGCAGCTGGATGACCACGCAGAGGCAGCGGGAAGGGAAGAAGGAAAGCGAGTCCCATCGATCGCGCCGCCATGAAGCTGCTTCGCTCACCCTCAGCCCACGCCGAGAGCTGCCTCCGCGCTCCCAGCGAGGGAGGCTGCAGCACTGGCCGGGGATCCGCGCCCAGGGGCTCCGGCGGCTGCGGCCTCCACGGCGGCCCCAGCGGGGCGCGGAGCTCCTCGCTCGGCCGAGCCGCCGTCCGGTCCCGTCCGGTCCCGTCCCGCGGGAGCGCTCGGCGCAGGGACCCGTCGCGGGAGAGCCGGGCGTGGGACGGCGCCGCCGACACAAGGAGAGGCCGCCGAGCCGAGCCAAAGAAAACCCCACACGGCAGCGCTAGGAAAAGATTTTCCATTTAATACTAGACTCTCTCAGGATTGAGATGCAGGCTTTTTTTTTTTTTTTTATGGTGGGTTTTTTTTTGTTGTTTTTTTTTCTTTTATATGCAATTACATCCAATGTTAAAATTGGTAATACATAATTTACAAAGATTAACATCAAAACAATGATCTATTTAGATATGCTTTGTAAAAAGGAAATATATTAGCAGCATTTATTTTCAGCAATCACACAGCCTACACCCATGCAGACTAAGAGTTCATATCTATTTGCAATAATGTAGTGCTTCCTGGTCTTAAAACAGCGATCCTGGTGACACACCGGTCTTCTCATTATTATAAAATAACCGAAAAAATAAAAAAAAGTCATTAATTTCTACACCAGTAAGAAAAAACAATTCTTTGCACTTACCTAACATTTGATTGTCTAAAAAACATTTTGTTTTAGTCTTTCAACAAAAGAAAGATAAAATGACAGAGCTAGTGTCTCGCTTCTGTACGCACTTTATTTTTTTTTCCTTTTAAAAAGTTTTTAGTGTTTAACACCATTTTGGAGACAATGATTTCTGTTTTAAACTAACTGAGACAACTCAAGATATTTTTTGGACATGCGATATTCCTACTACACGCACGAGTATTTTATACTCAGGGTTCCTGGTACTGTACAGTGCTTTTCTACAGTAAGAAAATATTCCAAACTATTTTCTTATTTCTTTTTTTTTTTTAATAAAATATTTTTTTCTCAAAGGGTTTTTTTTCCTTTCTTCTTTTTTTTTTCTCCTTTTTTAAATCAACACGTAAAAGTTAATGGAATGAGTCATGTTCCACTAAGAGTAAAATAATTATAATAATAACAAGAATGTACATTAGGACAAGCTTGGTCCATTAAAAAGGAACATGTAACTACTGTATTGCTTTACATCCACGCAGCAGATATATATATACAACTTGGCACATTAAAAACTTGTGTTTTTTTGTCTTTTTTTTTTTTCCTTATAAGAACATCTAAAACAGGACTGTATATGCATATGTACGTCGGAAAGACAAAAAAGCCAAGCCAGTTTAAAGGGGCAGTGCGCTGCGCTCTCCCTGCCGCTCCCCGGCACAGGAGACGGCTCTGCATCCCGGGATCCGGGCACGGGCGGCAGCGACGTTCTGGCTACGGCCGTCCCGTGCGGAGGGAAAGCAGCTCCTGGGCTGCTGCTTTTGGGGGACACCACTTTGGAGAGGGGCAGGGGGAATGCGGGGGGGCAGAACGCACTGTCTCTTTAAGAGACGGACATTTCCAGCTGTACAATCAACACAAGAATAGTGTCAGCGGTCGATATATTCTACAGTTCACAACAAATACTCGCTTCGAATACTGCTTGACGGTTCATGTAGTGAAATTCTCTTTTTTTTTTCTTTTTTCTTTTTTTTTTCTTTTTTTTGTCCTTTTAGTGGGGGTTTTTCATTTGCACGACACACGAGACGCACAAGAACCACAGCTTATCAAAAAAACCAACAGCAATGGTGGTGTCAGGATCTGACTCGCTTTTTATAAAAGTTGTCTGCAGGAAAAAAAAAAAAAAAAAAAAAAAAGCCAAAAAAAAGTGGAAAAGAACCAAACGAACTAAATCCCGGCCCAGCCCGCCCCCCTCCCGCGCCCCCGGTGCCCCCCTGCCATCCTCGATGCCAAACAAGTGCCACAAACCAGCCCCGGCCCCGGCGGCTGGGGACGTTTCGCCTCCCGCCGGCACCGTTCCGCCCGTCTTCCCACTTGTGCAAATCGGAGGCCGCGACTTTTAGGGCAGCCTTTCGTTTTAAGCCCAACCCAGGGCCCGCGAAGCGTGGCGGCGCTGACAGCGTCTCGTCCAGCCCCAGGTTTCCCTGGTGAACTCGGGGAATATCCTCACCGGAGAGAGTCAGTCTTTCCACCCCTTTTAACCTCCCCCCCTTTTGTTTTTTTTTTCTTCCTCTGAGTGGGAACAAAAATAAATTAAATTTGACCATCTTGGACAAATAACCACGAGGTTTTTCTCAGTACCTAACATCAATACAAGGCACGCCCAACAACACACACACCATAAGAGCACTGCCGAGCAGGGCAGCCCGGACACCTAAGTGCTACTGTTTGTATATTTGTCAGTGTTCTGCTGCTGCTGCTTCCCTGGCCAGTGCGCAGGCGTTGGGCTGCTGCCCTCAGTCCCGAGCAGACCTCAAGTGGACTCCAGAGCCAGTTCTCCTGGTGGCTTCACTTCCTGAAGCTGCTCTCCGGGATGCTGAGAGTGCGCCTCCTCAGCTTCCTTCCCGAGCCTTCTTCCAGCAAGTAAGTGACATCGATAGCTGCAACAGAGCAGAGACTTGTGACCACAGGAGACACCACCAAGGCTGCACAGTCTTGCAAGGATGAGCCTGATCATACCAGCCCAAAATCAACTGAACAAGGTCTTGGGCAACCTACATCACCCCTGCTTTGAGTAAGGGGAAGATTTTGGGTGATTTCCAAATCAGATCACTTCCAAAGATCCTTCCAAACTAATTTAATTCTACAAATCTGCAACTATTTTGTATCAACATAAAGAATATGGGGCAGAAATGAAAATGACTGGCCAGAATGCAGCTCATTCTAGGTGTTCATCGTGCCCGTTATCTAAACGTTATCTAAACTGTCTTTACGCGCATCTGAGAAACGTTGTCCAAATTTAATGCAAATTGCACCCGTGGCAAAAGCAAACACRAGTGCAGAGAAAGTAGTTATTAATAATGTTCACCATCAAAGCATGCAGGCAAAAGCGTTTATTTTATCAGCGTGGTCTGCAACAAGCTAAAATCAAAGAAAYCCTATTGTGTAACCACAGCATGAAAATCTCACCATTTTTCCCTGGGATTTTCTCTAAGAGGTTTAGCAGGATTTGATTAAGTCTCTCCCTCTGAATGTGCCGCCGTTCCTCTGGAGTGCACGGCTGCCTCGTGGCAGTGCTGCTCCCTTCCACCTTTTTCTCAGTTTCACAGCTCTCGCTAGGGGCTGCCTCTTTTTCTGCCTCTTCTAGGCTAGGCATCTCACTTGCTCTTTGCTCCTGGCTTCCTAATACATCCTCAATAAGTGGAAGCGGATCTTCTTCCTGGTTTAAGTCTTTGATCTGTTGTTTCGAGCGATCTGTTTTCCAGGATGATCTAGCAGGAAAAGAAGGGTTTAAAATACCACAGTTGTTCAGACACTCACCTGAAAGGCCAATTATCAGTGAGGAAAGGACTCCTCAACAGGAGGGCACTTCTACAATCTCAGTAATTTGACTTAAAAATAGAGACACAGGGAAAACATACATTTAAACTCACAAATAATGATCTATGGGAGGCTAAGTGCCCACAGCCTCATTTGATTAATGTCAAATGTAGCTTTTAAAATACATTTCCGTTTTTATTTCAATTTCTAAAGGTCTCTATTCTCCAAAATACTTGAGCTCAATATCTATCGATGTTTTTCTCTGCAACTCCCATGGCTCTCAATGGGTATTTTTAAATTCTCTAACAGACCTGACGGAACGCATTGGTCCCGATTCGTTTTATAATGCAGACATGGCCAATCTAATTAGGGATCTCCCTTCTGGCAGGAAATCTGGATAGTCCTGTGCTTGGCCTCAGCCCACATTCAGCTGCTTCAATCAGCTTTTAAAATGCCTCCCCTACTCTTTCCTTGATGAGGAACATCAAGGCTGGTGCTGTATTCTGTCCCTTCTTTCTCATTCTTTCTCATTACTTTTAATTTCTTCAAAAGTTCAGAGGATTGCTCTACATAATTTAGATTTATAATTTCTGTAGTAGCTAGRGAAGATGGGCAGGAGACAGCGGGCACTGAGCAAACAGGATTATCTCATCTCTTGCCAACAATTTGGTATGCAAGACTCACCTGCCTCCGTTTCTCTTGTAGCTGTCTGGTACGTAATGGGGCTATAACAACAATAAAGATTTTAGGGTTAATATCAAATGCAATTCATGGCGGAAGAAAGCGGCCTGTCTGATATTAGATAGGTAGCAACATGTGACTTGTCTAATATTTTGGAAATAGCAGTGCACAGCTAGCACACTGGCCTTGATAAACTTAAAGCTATCATGAAAAAAGTCATCTTTATCTTCCTTCCTTATGTGGGAAGTCACTCCTGATGTGGCTGCTATTTTTGATATAGAATTGCTAACTAAATTCTACATTATGAGGTTTCTGCCAGTGAAGAATGACTTAATTGAGCAGTTAGGTATCTGCCAGCAGTCACAATCTCTAGACTTGCCCATTGCCATCCCATCAACGTCTGTTTTGTTTGTTCAGCATCTGTTTGCTTTAGAACTGCCTATTCTCTATGTCCACTTTCCAAGTCTTCTTTCTAGCCAACTTTTCATGCAGTCTGTGAACGCTTACATGTCAGCTCCTTTAGATTTACCAAGCTTCACTGACAAAGAAAAGAGCCTGGGCCTTTCCAAGAATATGTCCAAGCCTCCTAAGAAGAAATAAGGAAGCTACTTGACAAAGTACTTACTGAAAAGTCCCTCTTGGGTGTGAGTTTCTTAGGGAAGTGGTCAAAGGCGTAGGGCTTGGTGCAGACAGGATAACGATTCCGGTGAATCTTGTAGAAAAGATGAGCTGATTTATCGAGACGGTAATCACAAATATACACGTCCTGCTCCTTCACCCCTTTGGGCCTCCCTGCAGTTTCAAAGCAAAGCATGTTGAGAAAAGACATTAGTCACCTTCAAGAGAAAATGCACAGTATGCCAGAAAAAGGACAAGCCAGAGGGTCAGAGAACTAGAGGCTGCAAGCTGTTAGGCTGCCTCCTCAGCCCTGTTCCTCCATAAACACCAGCCACTGCCTTCTTGCAGAAGCACCCACTTTAGCACCTCCCCAAAAACTACCAGAAAGAAGTGTTTCATGGAATTTCTCACCCCGTAAAGTTTACTTACCTTTGCAGTAGGTGTAGAGGTCCAGAACACAGCATGTTCCCACCACAGCCTCTAAGGGGATAATTTCATACAGTGGCACCCGGAAGAGCTCGTTGTGATAAAACTTGCGTGAAGGGGAGTGATGTGTTTCGTGGGGACGGAAATAATGATGGCCAAATGCAAACCGCTCCTCTCTGTTAGAAGGTGTGTAGGTAAGAGAGAGACAGAAGACAGTTTCATTGACTGCTCTCCAGTTAATTTAAAATTGTCTACACTACGCTATTGCAATGACTTGGGTGAAAGATAAAGCAGCACTAGTATTACATGTTCAACTTTACCCCTTTGGAAGGTAGTCCAACAGAGAAGAAAATACAGTGATCTAAATCTCATATTTCTTGCTTAAACCTCTAACCTTACATGTTCATAGCTGTGGACTACATGTAGAGATGAGTGGGAAATCCTGAAGCTTTTGTAACTTAACCATGTTCAGGCCTTAATCCGTAGCCTATGACAAGACTTCCGCAAAATGACTGCGCTTTGGCAGGTAGGAGGGATAAGGAATGTCTCAAATTCAAAAGATGCCTTCAACGTACTTCTCATTTTTCCAGAGCTTTTCAATGCGGAAAATGTCAAGTTTGTCTCTGTTGATGTGCGACAGCAGCCGATACGACTGCCGGACAGGGTGTCCATCTGGAGTTCTACGGCTGTCTCTCATCAGGTAAACGCAATCACCTGGCAATAGGCACAAAACACACACCTATAATGAACTTCTCATGAGTCCTGTGCACCAAAAAGAGGGAAGAAACCAGCTTCATCAAAGCTACCACGAGACTCTTAGCTAAAGTTGAATGCTAAAGAGTGCGGGAATCAGACAGTAAAAGGGGAAAAGGTTTCAAGGAAAGTTTACTAGCAAARAACTAAATACCACTCAACTTGCATGCTGAGAGGAAGATACCAACATGAAACAAACTGAGATAAATTATGCTGGGCAGCAGGATAGGTAACAAAATAAATTTGATTAGGGAAATAGGTACAAACTAGTGATAGTTGTAAAGCAGAAGGGATAGAGCCTTTACTGGTTTAGAGATGGACGAGAGGAAGCACGTACCTTGGCGCAGCAGCAGATCATCCCGTAATAAACATATGTAATAAACACAGCCAGGCTGGGTATAATGGGGACGAGGAATCATAGGAACCTCCTGGAGAAAATGAAAGAAAAAAAAAACATAGTCATCTCATCATGCCACAAAGTGAGAATTTCACAGTGGCCTTGCAAATCTCTGCAGCTTTGGCAAAAAGAAGAGATATTTATCAGCTCAGTCTTGAACCTAATCAGGTGCTGGATTGATTAAAGCTGGTATTGACAAATCTAGTGTGAGCTGCTTCAGAAATTTACTTCCCGCCTTCCTTACTCCAAGGAAGAAGCTACTTCTTGGAACTGACTCCACACTATTTTGCAAGCAGTAACAAAGCTGAGAACAACAGAAATTCATTCATTAACTCAATATACTAGTGATACTAGGTAGCAGACTGATACAATAATTATAAAAGCAAGAGCTGCTTCGATTTGTCAGTGTAATAATGAAGAGATTTTATACCCTGTTCACATTGCGAGGCTCACATTGTTCACACAAGTAGTGTTCAACGTCGGAATTCACTCCCATACAGTCACAGTGCTGCCAGACCTGGAAGAAGAGAGACATCCCAATTAGAAAGACCCAAGAGAGTATTTCTGAGAATACATTYGTAAATGAAATCTAAAGAGAGCATGAAAATAAACTTCCCAAAGCAAATGTGAGGCTTTCTCTGAACCATTTCAAGCTATATTAGAAGAAAGACGAGATTTCTACACAACTGCTTGTCCACATACTTGTAACTGCTGCAATACTGCTGGTATAATTATGCAGAAGGCAGAAAGAGCACTCGGCTCCACTGCTCAAAGTGCGTTCCCCTGTCTTACCATGCACTTTTCGCACTGGATCATGAGTCCCTCATCTTTGTAAAGGCCACAGATGCAACGGATCACGTCCTCATCCTTCTCGTGCCCGTTATCCTTCTCACAGACAGAGGTCTCACTGCTGTCGGCTTCGCTCGCTGTTTCTCCCACAATTTCATCAATTTGGGCAGATGCCTCGTGGCGAGCGTTGTAATACGCTTTTCGCAGCCGGCACACGTCACGCCCAGTTGGAGACTTTCTGCCATAATACTTCTGAAAAAAATAAATAAAGAAAAAAGACCTTTATTGTTTGGGCACGATCCATGCTTTTGGTGCAGTCTTTCTATCTGTATATACCCTCAGAAGTGTCTTTGCTAAAGCTACATCCACCAATATATCACCTGCCTGTCCATCTACCTCCTTAAGTTGAATAGCAGGTTCATGTATCTTATACACACCCAAACGACACTGAAAAACAACGTATTTCTCTCAGATAGCACTGAAAGAACTTTATTAGATCTTCAAGTAAGTATCTTTAAGTAACTCACACAGGTTATTCATCTTCTGTTTGTTTGATCTAAGGAAAGGGATTATCAGAGGTTCTCTCCCACAAAATATTTTCGCTCTTTCATTCCTATATGAAACTTTGTCGGTAACCATATTAAATAAGGATATATCCCAACTGTTCACGCAATTTTATCTGCTTTGGCAGCTAAATTAGACAGACTTAGGACCTGCAAGAGCCTCACCTCTGCATTTCGGAAGACCTTCAGCATGTCCCCATCAAAAGCCTCCACTGTTTTATAGTAGCCAGTCAAGATCTGTTTCTCAATTGTAGCAAGATCCAGTGGGTCAGAGATCTTTTCATAATAGTCTGCGTTTCTGAAGTGAGAATGCACAAACAATGTCATTTGCCCCAAGACTTCAAAGCTACACAAATGCATTATAGAAAAGCAAAGGTTGCTCTGAGAAGCAAGAACTTACTTTTTCTTTGGGGGCAGGTTCAGAAGGGGAGCAGCCAGAGCCTGTCTGGAGGAATCTACAATGGGAGCACACAGTTTAGCAGCAGAATTCGGAGGAAGAAGTAATTAAAACCTTTCAGCCTAGATCAAAATGGCTTGGTCACTAGCGGAGGTGTGGGCAATGGAAGAAGCTGGGTACTACTACTCTGACCACATAAACCAAAACGGAAGACAGCTTGTTTGCAATTCCGAGATTTGTACCATGCTGCTAAACCAGTGAAAAATCAGTTTAGTAGGACAGAAGCATCTGCAGACCCTAGYGGTAGGTAGAGAAAGGGGTTGCAGAAAAGGAAAGACTGCCAGGAGCGGGAGAAAGCAAAAAAAGGAATGGGTTACTTAAAGTCCTGAAATAAACTCATTTAAAAAATATTTTCTAGTCATAGGAGCCATTGCTCTAGAGGCTGAAAAATCTCCATATAGACTTTCTAGGAGGCTGTTGCACTTACCTTTATACGATATAATGCTATCACATATTTCCTTGAAGATCTGCGCTAGGCGGGCAGCACGAGCCACTTCGATGTTCTCTTCTGCTGCCGCCAAGCGCCGTGTCCGCACGGAGCGGGCGGTCTGGAGAGCTGAGAACTGGGTCATGAAGACGTCTGAAAGGGCACAAAGAAATAATGCAGAACAAAAGTTGAGCTCAAGACCAAATTAAAGCATCTGCTCCAATCCAGTCACCCCACCAAGAGCTACAGGTATATGAGGGTTGTAATAACTTTATATTTGATGTACACAGAGAACATATTAAGCTCTTTATGGACGTGTCATTTAGGATCGCAACGGAAAATAGGAGCAAGCCAAGGAAGCTGTGTTGGCCTCACCAGATTTGATGTTCCCGTCATCCCGACAGATTCCGTTCCAGCGGTTGTACAATGACGCAGTATGGATATTGTCACTGACGTGCTTCACTTCCTCTTGTTTCTGCCGAATCTTCTCCCAGTTTCGTACCAGAAATACATGGTGTTTTAGCACAAAATTCCTACAGAAATAAAGAAAAAAGAGGAATCATTTTCTTYCTCTAAGGCCCCGTCTTATAGAAAAAAGTAATTATTTTCAGGTTTTGGCCAACTCTGAGGAAAAGTCCACTGAACTCATTCCCCACCTTTCTCTGTTGGACATGGGCTTCATCTGAAGCTGTGGCATTAGCCGTGTTGGGGTGTTCACACTTTCACTTGGTTCCTCCGGCACGTGACCCTTCTGAAAAATAGATCATTCTGGTAGACAGGGAAAAAGAGGCCAAGAATATAGCAAAAGCAGAAATTCTGAAGTTGTTTTCAAAGTTTAAAATATACAAATACACRCTTTTTGATCTGCTGGCACAAATTGATCTCCTATTAACCTGTATCCATTAAATACTCCGTTTCAGTACTTACTCTCTTCTTCAGTTTGTGCTTTGACTTCCTCTTCTCTTTTGACCGTCCAGTTCTTCTGTGGGTGCTCACCGGCTGGTTGTTCTTGCTTGAAAGTCCATTCATTCGCTGACTCTTACCCCCAATTATTCCTCTGCATTTGTCAAAGCCACATTTGCAGAGTTGCTTGAGAAAGAAAAAAAATGAGAGTTTTTTTTCTAAGTAAACACCAAACACCTAAAATATCTGTCAATACTACTAAGCACTTCTTCGGTCAAAATAACACAGCAGGTTTTGTTAATCACCCTTCAACTTCAGAAAACTGTTTGTCCTTGGTGAGTTATATACACGTCTTGAACTGTTTTTCTTACCTGTTTTTCAACATTAAATGAGTGAAAATTGTAGTCATATGTCAATTCTGTACCAGCGGGCATGTCTTTCAGTGCATACAGTCCAATCCGGTAGACACCATTGACAGACCTGCAGAGAAAATGTAATAAAATACTCCCAGCATCAAACAAGAAAAGAGTCTCTTGCTGTGTCAGAGACAGGAAGCAATGCTGCTGCTGTCTGTTAGCCCTGAACTAAGCGTCTTTTTCCATTTCTACCATTCTCTTACTTCTCTCTCTGAAAGACAATAAAATGATGACTGTGAACAACACTTCCAAAGAGTACAACCTTGTGCTTCAAGTATGGAAGCCATCTACAACTGTAGCTATCAAATCAAACTACTATTCAATTGCCAGGCACTGAACATCACAGATCCTTTCACAATATATTAAAATGCATAAGCTCTCTAATTCTTTTACTTATCTTTTGCAATGCAAGCATGCTAGTTAATACTTGTTTTTTTCACTCTATCCAACTTGCTTCTCCCTATTTTTGGATCAGTTGTTTTTAAATGATTGGCTTATCTGTATTTTAGCCACTGGTACATTACTGGCCAAGCACAGAGAACCAATTTTTCTTACCATTTCTGCATCTCGCAGTTAGGATTACAGCTGTGGTTGATAAAACGAGCCTCATTGCCCATACGATAGCTATCTATCACCATTCCGCTGTCCAAATTCAGACAGTAATGATCGCTGTGATTGTGGTACTGTTCAATCATCCGGTTCCTAGGAAGCAACACAGGAAAGGTATTTGTGATTCTGCTCGTTGCTGCAAAGGAAACAGGGAAAGACAAAGTAACAGCGCATTCAAGAATTTGAGAGAGGGTTTTGAAGAACAAAAAGATTACGATGCTTTGTATTTTATAGTATCTTACACCTAGAGACGGAGGAAATCCATTATAATACCTATTTTTATAAGTCAAGGCCACTGACAGAGCTTGGATTAGAATTTAGAAATGTTTTCTTCTGGAATGCTCCCTTTGGGGTTCTGTAGATTATTAGTGTACATTTCATGTTGATAACCTGTGTATGGAAGAGAAAATGCAAGTACACGCTCTTTGCTGTGGATATGTCCGCATGTGCGAACACTCAGTCCCCTCCCTTCATTCTCTGGGGCTGGACACAGTCTCTGGAGTTTCACCCTTGAATTACAGCCCCTCCTTTTAGCCACAGAGGAAGAGTGACCAAAAAAAAAACTCTTGTATTAGAACCTATCTCTGAAATGGAATTTACCTTCTGGTGGAGCTCTAAGTAAGTGTCTCTCTCCAACCTCAATTATCCTACCATGTAGTTAACATGACGATTTCTTTTTTCCATTGTTATTAATGTATCCGTGATTCTTTGTCTTCCCATCTATCTGTAAAAGCTCATTTCCTTTCTGGCCCCATTCTGCCTTCCGATTTATCTCGCACAATTAAAATCCGGCAGAGTGCTCATAACTATATCACATTTAGACTCACTTGCACCATTTGGCATTCACAGAACAGATGTGGCAGATGTTTCTTTCCACACACTAATCACTTCTCTCCATTTGACTGAGAAAAAGTTGATCAAACACATTAAATTCTCAGCCTTCCTTCTGGTGGCAGTGAATAGAAACACATTCTTTTTTTTTATTATTCCTTTCTTCTCTTCTTCACCTCTCTCTAAGGGTTTTCTATCAACGATAATCAATGTCATTTATTGAGCCTCCCATGCTACAGCAGCAGATAAATATTTCTACCTGAATTCTTGCTCACTAACAACTTCTCCCAGATATTCAATGATAAACTGTCCTGCTTTCAGGGGTTCTTTGGTACGAATACCCCATCCTTTCTCCTCGGCCCGGAACCTCTCCAGGCACTGCACCCATTCATGCCTCTGGATCCGCTGGTTACAACACTGGTCGCCGCAAGGGCAGGTGTTTGGTGAGCACTCCGCAAAGATCATCCTACAATAAAACACCAAAGAAGTTACAGGAAGATAAGAGCAGGCTTTTAGTGATTGTTTTCTGCTTGCACAACAGCTCTATGCTAAACCAAAGCCACTGAAGAACTAAAACGCTTCTTGTTTTCAAGGCATACGGCACGCAAAGATTCACAAAAGTCAACCTGTTTCTGACCTGTTAAGACAGTCCTCCAGGCAGCCTTTTCCGTTGCCATCATCTGGTTTCTTGCAATTGCAGGTAGTGGCCTCATAGCCAGAAAGAGGCTTGACGTCCACATATACATCTGTAGAAAAGAAAGAAGGGGAAAGATTCTTTTCAGATGGAAAGCAAAACTATTTATTTTCAATATTTTTAGTATGATTACACAAAGCAGAAAAGGAGGGGAAGGACCTTAAATAGGATATAAGGTGTGGCAGAAATGAGAGACATCATGTGAAGACTCCAGTTGCCCTGCTTTGCAGAAAGCACATATTGATGCATTTTAGTAATAACGAGAGTAAGAATCTACTTACTGGAACGGATTTTTTTATAGAGTGGGACGTCTGGCTTCTTGTACAACTAAAAGGAAGAGAAATACATCTTTAATACATTATATAACTGCAACTGTTAGTCAAAAGAACCACAGAAATCATGTTCTGCTCATATGCAAAAGTTTTCTAATAATTACTTAAAAAATAGATACAGAATAGGTCAGAAAGTGCAACTTAAATAAGTCTATCTTGAGCTAAATGAATCAAGTGTTTACTTCCCCCATATGATCTGGGCAGAACTACATGGAAAACAGCATCATGAGGACTATTCTGAGACTATCCTGAGCAACACTGTTCTTTTCAATCCTAAAAATAATTATTTAAAGCTAATTGGGAGACTGCATCTTTGGTGGATTTACAGCATAATGCTTAGTGAAGTGAAAAGGGTTAAAAAACACATATAATGGGGTTATCAAAAGGGTGTCTCCAGGTAGAAGCCAAGGGAAACGCAGCTTCATTTTCCAGTTAGAATCGTTTGCTCTACTGAGGCAGATGACAGGAGGGAGAAGGGAAATTTAGATCATATTTTGTAACCTGATACTTAATCCTTTCAAACAAGCTTTAAGAATCATTTCTAAGTATGACACGTATGCACATTTAGWGCCTTACAGCATTGCCTCAGCACGAGGCATGGCAGCCAGGCATCGTACATGCAAACTGTTTTGTAAAGGCTCTCAATATTTTAGGCAGATAAGGAAAATGTCAAGGAAAATAGATCATATATATTTATTATTTAGGCAATGCTGAACTGAGAAGACAGGCAGATGGAAGGGATCTTCAGTCCAYTGCAAACAATGCTCTGCAGCTGAAATGTCAACTGCTATCATGACTTTAAGATTAGATTTTGGTAGTATTACAAAGAGGAGCTGGAGCCACAGCCACCTGGGAATTGGTCTTGCTCATTTACATGGCTAGGTTACATGGATCTACAAGTGTTAAATCACTTGGAGGAAACTTCTCAGGGGAAAAAAAAATCCTATTTTTAGGTTTGCACATATTTGAAGCTCTTTAAAAAGAATGTGACTGTTAAACACTTTCTCTGCTTCCTCAGTATGAAAATTTCAGCTCGCAAGTGAAAAATAAATTCCACTCTGCTGGGATCGATCCAAGAAAAATAAGGCCTGAAATTTCTCAGTGCTGTTGGCAGTACATCTGAATTCTCTTGAGGCGTGTCTAAAACAAGATCATTGCAAGAAGCAGGCAGACAGGCTACCAAAATAAAAGTCTGCAGCAGAATTAATGGCACTTTTTTCCTTTTTTTTTTTTTCTCTGCAGAAACACAGCATTGCTATTTTGCAAGAGGTGGAAAAAAAGGATTCGCATTAAATACACATGCAAATCCTTTTTTTTCCTGCTCATACAGTAGCAGCAACAAGAATACTAATCAATATACAGAATATATAAATAGAGCTTTCATATAAGAATGCTGTTATTTTCTTTCCATGACTCCTGAACCCAATCTTGGCACTTAATAACTTTTTATCTTGTACCTGATTGTGTTTCCATTGCCAGAGGATGTCATAAGGCAGCTGGAAGTCGATTCTCTTTTGTCTCAGATACTTTCCTGAAACAAAAAAAAAGGTTTACACGTTGAACACACTCATATTTTCACATTCCCAAGGGGAACGGACTGCTGCTAGGCACCCCACAACAAGCTGGATAGGGCCTCCAAGTAATTAGYATTGCACTATCCCAAACCCCGCCGAATTGGTGTTGAAAACAGGCTGTTTCTACAACCTTTACCAAAAGTGACCTACGGATCAATTCCCACTTGGCAAAGCCATTCCTCATTGCTTCAGAAAGCCTTCAAGACGATCTGTATTTTCAGCAATAACTGAAACTTGTTTTAGACAGGAATTGCTTTTATGGTAGATTATTCTAGAACTTACTGCCACCCCTAACCTCTTCCTAAGAGAAGGAAAGGGACCCATTAAAAAGGGCTTAATATAAGAGTTGGGTTTTCACATGGGGTTCTGCATTAGCCCTAGCTAAGACTAAAAACTTCTACTATAATTTTACTGGGCTGCTGCTTCACAAAATTGCTGTGAGAAGGGCAATTAACAATGAGGTTTCCGACCCATGTCTCATTTTCCCAGCTTTTCTCAATGTTAACAAGTGCCTTTGTGTACTTTGATGTAAATCTACATGCATACCTTCACTGCCGAGGAAATTGAAAAATCAAAATTGCAATGTTTTCCTTGCAACTTACTCCTAAATCACTTATTTGCAATGCTTGATTCAGCCATAGCAGGTTCCAGGAAAGAGCTAAATCTGCTGGGAATTTGCTTTCACTTCCATGACCTCACTGGGCAAAACAAAAGGCTCTTTCAAGCGCCCTGGCACAGTGCCTGGGGGATACGCGACATCCTCCAGCCGCCATCCACCAGGCACTAGCAGTTACTTGGCAGAGCCCAACACTTTGCAGCTCTGCTCTGTAGTTCTTCTACACCCTGGCTGCTCAGTACTAATTAAAGCAACCTTATCTTTACCAAAGAAGCTGGTTGGCTTCTGCTAGCACAAACAGACTGCAGCTCCTGSTCTTGCAAAGCCAAAAGGGAAGGGGATTGCTGCACTGCAAACTGAACCTGAGCATCTCCGCAGATGGTTCCACCAAGTGACAGGGCTGAAGGACCTCATTCAAGAAAGAATTGGGAAAGGTGACATGTTTGGGAGATTTTAAATTAACACCTTTAATTCTGAAAGCCTCTTCCCTAAAAATTATGGTTACTTGTTTACACAGAATGCTTCAGATGCTGTTTCTTCTCTACGAAAGCTGCTTACAGAGCACAAATGAAATAAGACACAGCAGCTAAACAGTAGTACTAGATGGGACAAACATTCCTGCTGAACAATATAAAATTTCCCAAGTCTGCTTTGCATGACTGTACTTGAAGCATGAAATAACAGCATCTTGCAAGCTCAAACACTTATCTTAAGAGCAATAAATCAATCTTTGTTTGCACTGGGAAAGCAGATCTGCAGCACTTTATTTTGGGACTTCAAGACGTCTCTCACTGTTCAGCCCAGGGGTTATCCAGCCCCTCAGGTTACAGTTTCATTCTGTAGAGGGCTAAGAGGAGACTTGCACCTCATCTACGTCCTACTGAAGACCCCCAAACCAGATCCGAAGCAAGGGTTTAAATAATGCCTACGTTTTTTCATTAATTTTGACATAGCCTTGGTGGTGCAGTACTCACCAACGTGAATAGGGGCTGGAAACAGGCCGTGCTCATGCTCTCCTGGCGTGTACTCCAGCTTTTCCTTCTTTAACTGTATGAGGCGGCTCTTCGGACTGTGGATGAGAGACAAGAGGGACAAAAAAGACGGTAATCAGGAACATTTCTGTTGGGTGATACCACATACTAATATGTTATTACAGTCTATTAAAATATACTGAATACACTTACATTTAAATGGTACACACTTGCATTTAACTTCATGTATACAGGTGGGCAGAGAATAACGAGCCAGATTTTAGGATCAGAAGATACTATTATGATTATTTACATAGAGAGTGTATCTCTATTTCGCAGGTGAGGAATATAAAGTGCAGAGAAACAGAGATGTTAAGTGACCCAGGCAGCAGAGCAGAGACATGACCAAAACAGAGGTCACCTATTTCCAGCCTGGCATTTCATGTTCCAGGACGTACCCCCTGTATAACACCTTAGTCAGAGTGGTTTCTAACTGAGGTTTGTCAAACACTTTCCTTAATTCTTCCCATAAATTATAATTTTTAAGGATTCATTTTAATGATTTATCAATTATTATTAAATTTGTTTGGTGAAGGAGACTGGCTTCAGAAATCATCCCTCTCCTTCTTGGTTCATCTGCAAGGCACCGTATTTTGATGCTGGTTTATACTTGAAGTCTGAGTTTCCTTCACTGCATTTTCAGCAGCATTTCTAGACCAATGCGAGTCGGAGGAATGAAACCTTGTTGAGTCAAATTGTACAACAAAAGTTCCAACGATGTTCAGGAAGAAGTTAAGAAAGATGCAGTAAAGCAGGAAAGGAGTTTTTAAGTTAAGAAGCATCTGCAGTTGAACACAGCAAAAAGAAATGAGAAGTAATGAGCAGGACAGCACCACTTGACAGGGAGCAGGCAGGACTGGTTTGATTAAAACCTGTCGAGTATTTAACTGTACCAGCACTAGAGGGTGCCATATGATTACACAGCTGCCTTTTCAGCCTCAGCCAGGATCATGTGTTCACCCCCATACAGCATGAAACCGTATAAATATTAGAATAACAACGTGAGCTTCTGCTGTCCTCTTGTGCTGACAAGCACTGGACTGTGCAGTAGAACTGGAGCAGGGAGTTACAGCAGCAGAGAGGTCATTAGAAAAGAGAAGCGACGATCGTTCTGCCAATTTACCCCGCTGGACTGACCTAGGGAGAGATCTCGCCCAGCACAAAGGAAAAGGTGAGATGAGTCCTTTAAGCTGCAACTTGCACTWAGACAAGGTTTCTGCATCAAGATGGCCATGGCTGTGTCCTTGCTGAGCTGAGCGAGATGTCTCCATCCCTTGTTTTTGTATCAGTGTTTAAACAACCATGCAGAGAAGTGCAGACTGAGAGAGCCCAAAGCTACTTGTTTCTTTGGASGGGTAAAGCTTTCTCCTTGTCTTTAGCTGGCTCATCTCAAGCACTAGTATCAGTGCAAAGGGAAGTACTGAGCGTGCCGAGTGGCAGGCAAAGGACAAGATYAAATCCGATCCCCTTCAGCTTCCATGGCCCTGGAACGTGACATGGACTTTTGGGATGGCCTTCTCCAAGTACTGAACTTCATTCCCTCACCTGGGACAATGCCTATGAACCTTGACTTTCAGTATTTATACACTTCTTTTAAATCAGATGTTTGCCTACTGTGCATGAAATAAGAGCCCTCTCTTGCTGATTATGAAGGCCAGGGTAACTACCATCTCATGATGAAGAAAAGAAAGATTCCCTCAAGTTCCTACCTAAAAGGACCAAAGTAATTTCTGCCCTGCAATACCTGAATGCTGCAAGACTTTGTGCATCAGTAACAGATCATCTAAGTGCTAAAAATTCCAGCAGAGCTGCAAAAGAAATGGCTTTGAAGCTATTGGAAACATGTATGGTCTCACTTTGATCAGACCTAGATCTTTATTGTTTCTTGATTCCTTCATTGATGCTTAATGAAAAAAAGTTAGGAATGCTGGCTTTTCAAAGCCCTCATACAAARGGAAGGAGATAAACCTCACTTAACTGTGCAATGAACAGGAAGAGTCTCTGAAACGCTTTCACTCCATATGCTTGTCAAACAAAAGACGACCATATCACCATTCAGTCAGGAAAAATAGAAAATTTACAGCCCTTTCTTTATGCTGGTGTTGTGCACAGTACCTCAGCATCTCAAGCTCTGCCAGCACCTTTGCTGCCACGATGGGTAGGACTGTCGAGTGAAGCTGTCTTACCTTCTTCAAGGTCGGTACTCAGAAACACTTTCAGATTGCTGCAGGCTGCTTTCTGACTGGGGTTACATTTTAAATCTTCACTGGGTCAGATTCTGATAATTATCATGCATGTAATTTTTCACAGGCTTGCATTAAATTGATGGTTTTATTTCAGCTGCTCATTAGTGGCAGCTCTTTATGGTTCTAGTTGAAAGGAGACAGTTTCCACTGGAATATCAGACAGCAGCTTTTCACTGGTATTACTTACTCTGTTGTTTTGTACACATCAGAGTAGAGCCCTGCCTTCTGGTACTTCTTCTTTGGCGGCCGAGGAGCTTTTTTCTCACGCTGGGTAATAGAAGGCAAGGGCTGTTCGCTGTTTTCAGATTCATGYGCTTTCCCAGGGGCATCATGTGGACTGGATGGCTCAGCTGCTGTCTCGGAAAAACTGCAAGAAAATGGAAAGATCATCTTACTGCCCCATTTCATTATTCCTTCTTGTAGCAGTAAGGAAGTTACAGRGGTAACAAAAGACCCTATGTGTGGATTTCTCAATTGCTGGATGTCTCAGCTATGTCCAAAATGCAATTCCAAGGAGGTACGTGATTAAGCATAATCATACAAAATGGAGGCTCTTTTTAGAGTAACATTATTATCAATTAATATAAAAAGAAAGTTATCAGCCCAGAAATTCGWACTCCTTGGAGCCTCAGTTAGCCAAGTCAGAAGTGGCCTTATACTATCTTCTTCTGTCTTCCAAAAATAGCATGTGGTAAACCTTTTTTTAGACTTCAGGACAGCTATACAATACATCCTTTTGACATGTGGCTGCAGCAACATTCCCTGGAGCTAAATGCCTGTATCTCGCCATTTGTTTCAGGAACACAAACGGATTTTTCAGAATTATGCTGCAAATATTCAAAGGGGGAGCCTTCAAGAAAAGTTTGCTCTGTTGGTATCGAGGGATTCAGGAATAAGCACGAGAGGATTAGAGCAGAGACCAATTTCTGGTGTGTTCCTTTGCAGCCATTGATCATACCGTTAAACTGCTGCATACCACAACTCCTCCTTTACTCTCTACTTGCTGCATATCAACTGATCTCACCCAACACACTCTGTGCTGCTTGGGAGTATTTGTTTATAACGCTGATGAGTCACTCTCTTCCCATGGCTCCACGGAGCTATTATAGCTCCTTATTCAGCACATGATATAGGAATGATCTTTACTATCTCATCAGTCAGCCTGTTACCAGCTCACTAAAAAGCTGGCAACAGCTGGAGTCTCTGCACCAAGGCAATCACAAAACACAAAAACAGTGCTTTTAGATTACCTGTGAATCTATCTCATATGGGTGTCCCATGTTCAGGAGCTTAGAAAAGCCCTGAACAAACTTGAAACCAGCATGTAGGTTCTCTTTAAGCTGAACTTCTTAGAGAAAACAAGTGTGACCAGCAGAGCGTGTGAGAGGACGACTCTTTCCCGCGCTGAAATGCTATAAACACCAATGACAACCACACTGAATGCACAGAACTGTAAGGGTATTACCTTTTACTGCTCTCCCGCTCATCTTCTGGTAGAGACTTTTGTCTTTTCCTGGCCTGTTCCTCTGCAAGCCACCTCTTTCTCTTCCAGCCTTTTCGGTGATCCACATTCAAGTTCACACTTTGCACTACGGCTTCAATTACATCTGTGATGGTATCGGGTCCAAGGTGTAAAGGACTGCTGCTTTCCTCCCTTTTCTCCAGCTCCTGACTGACGAGTCGAGCTGCCTGGAAAGCCTGCATGGAAACCACTGCCTGCATTGGGTACTTCCGAGGCCGACCTGGCCTGCGCTTCACAAAGTTATTCCCTGTCCGCGCCTGCCTTTGCAGCTTTTTGGCTTTCAGAATTTTATTGACGTGGTCCAGGTTCTTTTTCGTGGCCAAGATCTTGTTATAATTGCACATTTTCCTAGCTTGCCGCTGCATGGCTTCCACCACGCTTCTCTTGAGATGGTGTGGGGAGTAGCTGGTGGGCAGGCGCTCAGAAAGCAGGGAGATGCTCTCGCCGCAGGAGCTGCTCGGCATGGCCGGGGCCAAGACACCGTCCGGCTTCCCCAGGCCCCTCTCCCGGTTGTGGCTGCGAGCGGGRCTGGCTGAGGGCGGCACGGCCACGTTTGCAATCACCGCCTCAATGGTCTTGTCCAGCGTAGCTTGGCCATCGTGCTGTGCCATGCGCTGCAGCAGGTTGTCCATGGGGTCGTCGAGCGGCGGCGCGAGCCTCGGCCCCCGTGTGGGCACCCCCAGCACTGCAAACACACGGGAACATCAATGCACCGACACACACGGGCCATGGCATCATCGCTGCAATTGAGCCCCAAATTGAGGGCTCAACTTAGATCAGGCAGCTGGACAGACTGCCAGATGTTGGTATCTTATCAACGTCTAAAACGCTCGATGACAAAATGAACATTTCTGGAATGTGCATCTAATGTTCATCTAACGGGAAAGATACCGAGGGATGCAAGTGTAAGGACACTTTAGTCCAATTTGACACTATAATAATAATAATAATAATAATAATAATAATAATAATAATAATAATAATAATAATAATAATAAGGCTGTTTTCAGTTTTAGACAAAAAAAAATACAACCCAAGAGTGACTGGCCTTTATTCAAGTCCATTAATAAACACTGGAATGAAGTTGAGGGTCCCTCTTAGAAGCACCATCTGTTTGGTAAAGTACCCATGTAAGCAGCTGCAGCAACCAGCAATGATCGAGCTACAAAACATTTGGCCCCTCATTTGGGCCCACGGGCTGACAGCCTGGGCAGCTCGAGACTCTGATGCCAGAGGCAGCTGCAGYGCTGCCCAGGTGTTTGCTGCACTCAGCAACCCAGCAGTGCTGGGGCAAACGTGCTGCAATCCCACGGGCACCCCGGAGCTGCAGGAAAAAATGGAGCCAAGAAGGTCTTTTGAGCATCACCAGCTCTTTGAAGCTATGTAAGTGGTGAAGCTACATAAGGAATGCCTAAACTTTCAACACCTTCTACACAAAATTATGCCAGCGGGTTCATTTAACTTTTGCAGTTGCCTCTTGGAAAGGAGCAAGCAGAAGGAAGGTGGTCATTGAGCCTGGGGAGGAACCCAAGTCCCGTGCTGCTCTGGCTGTGCTGCTGCTTGTATAAATGCCAGCTCACGTTTCCCTCTTCTCCAAGACAACCTGAAGCACTTGCATCCCAAAATACAAGCGGAAGAACTTAGCATCTCTGCAAACACTCCTTGGCTGCACTGAGAGCACACTCCTCAGGGGCACAGGAGCCTGGAAAACAAGCCCAGCATCTGTTACTCGCCTGCAGGAGAGGTGCTCTCGGACGCCGATCTCTTCCTGGACGGGCTGCAGCTCGTGCTCTCCGGTGGCCGCTGCGGAGGTTTGTCCTGGGGCGGCAGAGCGCCTGCAAAGCGGCAGGGAAGAAGCACAAACCCGCTGCATTTCAATCTGGCAACGCCAATAAAACACACTGAGGATGCCAAACGTGCAGACTAAGATTACTCCTTTGCTCAGAACAAGGAACACTCGCATGCCATGAAGCAAGAGGGTGGAGAAGGGTGGAACTGCATCATTAAAACCTAATGCTAAAGGCATAGAGAGCCTCCGAGAAAGCCATTTATTACATCTGGTTGCTATCTTTCATGTAATAAAAAGATATCTCTAATGTAAAACAACCCCCCTCTGTCATAGAGACGTTGCTAGTRGGTTCCTAAAGAGGGTTTTGATACTGCTTGTACAGGGCACAGGTACAAAGAGAGCTGCAGCTGAACCATGCAGGGAGCCTACATCCATTTGGCTCTTTGAGGTATTAATTTCATAAAGCGACCTCCAAAAACAAATTATCCGAATGACTGCTGTAAACAGCTGCAATACGGAAAGAATAAGGGAGGGGAAAACAGGAGCACCGCTTAGATGGCAGAGCAGTGTGGAACTGCACTTGCTCACAGCTGATGCTGGTATTCCAGCTGTCCTGTYTCTTTCACAAATGCAATGACTTCAATGCAAAAAAAAACTATAATATTGAAGGGACTGTATTATTTGAAATCACAGCAGTTATAATTAAAATGCAATAAACTCATATTTGAAAAAGCATCTTTTTCCTTGCCTGAACATGTCTCAAAGTCTTTTCAATGCAGAAGAGCATATACATGGCCTACAAAACTAACAGTTGCACATCTCACACCCTTCCTTTCATTTTGAATGGAATGAAAGCAGCAAAGATCCTTTCCAATTGCCCCGACCCCGAACGAACGGCTCGTTTTGGTTTTCCTTCCCTTTTCCTTCCAGGAATTGTGAGCAGCTTTACCGAACGCCATCCACAAGAAGCTCCAGACTGCTCCAAACACGGACGTTCCCCACAAGCCCCGTCCCTAGCACGACTCCGCTCTGAGCAGCTCGGAGGAGAGCTYGCACCGCAGGACAGCGCAGAGAGCCAAGCACACAGGATCAGGAGCCGTGCAGCTCTGCAGCGGAAACTACCTGCACGCACCTCGACAACCACCGTAGAGAAAAGCCTCTGATCAYGGGGTGGCTGCAGGTTTTGGGCTCGCTGTGCACGTGCAGGATGCGGAGCACGAGCGGCTCCCGGCGCGCCGCATGGGTTCCAATCGGGAAAGGCTCTTACGGAAAGCGGCGCGAGGCGCGTGAGTCAGCAGCGAAGCGCGCTGCAAGAGGCGCAGCACTCAGCCCGCGGCAGCACCGCTTAGCTGAAAACGTTCCTGCTTTTCTGTTTTTTTTCCCCCTACTTTAATTAGGCTGTTTCTTTTTTTAAAAAAACACCCAAGTCAGATCATTCACTGCAGTGGAATTTCTCAGGAAATTCCCAGACCTGTGCTAGCTACCACAACCAAATCTGCACTCCCTGGCGCCGGATTTAACCCTTTGAGGAACAAAACTATCGGAGTGTTTTTTCCTATCAGCATCGTATCCAGGTGAGTTTTATTTTTCATGCAGGGACAATGCATTGAAGTCAGTAGGAAAAGTGATGCATAACACCCAGGCAAACTCTATTAGCTTGAAATTAACTCCTAATCTTTATATTGCATCTTCTTAACACCATGTAAATGAGTTTAAAGTTTTGGATTAGAGGCCTTTAACAACAGCTCTCTAAGAGCAGCATCAGGGGTTGTTGTCTTTACAGTCTCGGATAGCTCTGTTTCAGCTTAGCTTGGGGCTACAAGTTTCCCAATTAGGAATAAAGCAGTAATTTAAAACGCAAAGTTTGCTCTTATGCTTTCCCAGCATCGCTTAGCAACTGTTTTAAAAGTACTGCCTAGAGGCCTCAAAGCAGGATGAAAGCTACAGCAGAGTAACAATTATCAAAATACCCCAAAACAGGATTACGCAAAGAAAAAGGAAAAACTTCTTCAGCACCAAAGAACGTACAAAACCAATGCTGGCTTTGCCAGTCTTTCTCCTGGGCTGTTTGGGGTGAGGTAAAAGAGCAGGACCCGYGGCTCGGCCCCGTGTCCCCTACCTGGCAGCGGCTGCAGGGCCTTCTCGCCGGGAGGCAGTGGCTCCTTTCGGAGGGGGCGGCTGAGCGGCGCGTCCTGGGCGCTGAAGAGCCCCGGGCCCTCGCCGAGCTTCTTGCGCCCGCTGCCGCTGGTAGAGCTGACGACTCTGCAGCTGCCTATTGCACTTGTGAAAAGGTTGGTGTGTTCGTCGCTGCTGGCTGGCTCCGAGCTGGGGGTAAATCCCCCCAGGGACAGGCCCGGGGGGTTCTCCGAACAGTCTATCTGTAAGGGCGCCTGCAGGCCCAGCGCCAATGGGTTGGGCTCCGAAGGCTCCCTCCTCACCCACTGCTCGTCTCTGCCCAGCAAACCCTTCGAAGGCGACAAGTGTTGACAGGACATGTGGCATCGGTGCTTCTCTTTATGCTTATATCTTTCACCGACAGCCTCCTTCCCGAACCGGTAGCGCTTCAAGGACTCCAGGACTGTTCTGGAAGAGCTGTTGGCTGTCAGCGAGTCCATGGAGACCTGTGGCTGCTCCGAAGAGCGGTGCTCCCTGTGCTTGTGGCGGTGCCGGTGCTTGTGCTCCAGCATCCAGCCGTAAGCCATTTCTGGCGGGACGCTGGGGTAGGTGCTCATGGACAAGAGCGGCGTCCTGCTCGTCGTGAGGAACGCCTCCTGCCGCAGCAGCTTATGCTTCTTCTTGTGGTATTTGGCAGGATTGAGAAGCAAGTGGCCCGTGTGCATGTAGGAAGGGGGTGGCAGCGGGGTGGTGAAGGAAGGAGAAGGAGGAGGAGGATAAAGAGTCGGAGGGTACCTGCCATAATAACCCAATCCGATGGGAGCGGCTGCGAGGGGAGACGGAGAGTAAGGCATGCCGTAGGAGGGGTAGAATCCGGTCCCGGAGAGGGGAAAGCTGAGGCTGTGCATAAAAGGCATCTCTGCCATGGCCTCCCGCATTTTGGGAGGCCTGCCTCTCTTCTTCTTTAAATCGGGTTTCCTAATGTAGTGCAAAGGATCTAAAGGGAAGGTCGGATGCGTGTAGAAACTATTGAAATTTATCCGGAAAATGGTAGGCAGTAAATCTCGGGGGATGAAATGGTGACTTCGGTGGGTTATTCTAATCTCGCTTAATCGACTTATTAACTCTTCTAACTCTGCAAGGAAATCCGGGTCCTGCCTACCTCGAAGCTGCGGGTACTTCTTTTTCCTTTTCCGCTTCTGCCTTTTCATTTTGTCGTAACTAAGGTAGTCGTGACTCCGGCGCTTACACTTGTGTTTATGCTTTTCTTTCAGGTTCCCTAAGACGGTGGAGGTTTCAGGCGGAATAAGGGCGACGTGATCGAACGAGTGCCTCTTCTTCTTGGACCCGCAGAACTTCTCGGCTCGGTCCGAAGTGCTGTTGTTATCGGTGCCGATGCCGCTGTCGCTGGGGACGGTCTCGTCGCTGTGCGACTCGCTCACGGGGGAAGGAGTGGCCTCCTTGAGCGACGTCAGCTCGCTCAAGTGGGCTGGGGAGTTGGGCAGCAGCGTCGGCGGCGACAGCCTCCTCCTGCCCTTGGAGGCTTTCTTCATGGCCAGCGTCTGCACCACGCTGCCCTGCCGGGCGTGGATGTGCAGGAAGGGCACGGCGCTGGGCTCGATGAAGCCCGCGTCGCTGCCCGCGGGGCTCTGGCCGCCGCTCGCTGCCTGCGAGCACATCGGCGAGGGAAGGATGTCCGGGGCGGCCGCCGGGGAYGGCAGCAGGTGGGGAAGCACCTGCCCCAGCGCCGCGCCGGGCCCTTGCGGGGCAGACTTCTCGAGGACGGCCAAACCGGCCGCGTTGCTGGCCAAAATGCCGTTGAGCACAGCTTTCGGCTTCCGGCCTCTTCTTTTTCCTATGTAAATGGTTCCTTTCTTGCTGACGTTTATCTGCTGGCCTAATTTTGAACCAAACGTGGCCGCAAGAGTCGACACCGTGTTGTGGAGCTTGGATTGCACCTTCCCTTTGTTATTTGGTTCCACCGTGCTGGAGAGGATCTGGTTCAGGAGCTTCTTGCGCTTCAACGTTTTCATTTTATTTATTTTTCTGATAATTGTTTTCATTAACTGCCCGTTATTCCTCTTTGCAACTTTCCTGTCCGAGTCCACTTCCAGATCAGTCATGCTACAAATACTAGGCTTTTGGACTTCTTCAGGCCCTCGCAGCTGGTCCTTTCGCTCAAAAAAATCCCCGCTTTGATGCGGATCGCTGTCGGACTCTATCTTGTTTGAATTATCTGTTGCAACAAAGGGCGCCACAGAAAGAATAGGCGGCTTCATTTTAATCGAAGACCTGATCTGTCTTTTAGGTCTCCCTCGCTTTTTAGGGAAACTCTGGCCTGCCAGGCTCTGTTTTAGGGAGGGAATTTCTACCTCCGGCTGCAAAACTGGAGGTTCTTGCTCTTCCTTTGACTGCAGCGAGAAGACCTTCGATGCTGGGATTTTGAGAGTCCTTTTGGGGGGACCTTCAAGCTCTGGCATCTCCTTTGCTTTGGGCCTTCCTCTTTTGGGTTTATACATGTCGGGTAAGAAGTCGTCCGACATGCACAGGCCCGAGGGCTGCTTGTGAGTCATGTAGAACTTGGGAGCCTGCTTGTCAGCCTCGGCAAGCAGCGCGAGGGACGGCCCGCTCGCCTCGCTCAGCTTTGGCAGCTGGTGCTTGACGAACTCGTGCTCCACAAATGAAGACGATCCTATGTTCTTCAAGAATTTGGCCTGCTCCAGACTGCTGCCTGCTAGTGCACTGTATGAAATGTTTTTAAAAAGCTCTGACCTTTCCAGCTCGAGACCCTTGGGAGGCCGACACGCGCTTCTTGACACCACTTTAGTCCATCGCGGCTTCCTTCCTTTTCTCTTCTTTAAAGGTTTTGACTGCTGACTGGCGCTCAGATTTTTACTCCCTTGGCAGGATTTATCTGATGCACTTATTGCACCAATCTTTAGGAACTGCTTGCTACTAAATAAGCTTGTAAAACTAACTACTGAGGGGGTGACAGTAGCATGAATGCTTGTTTCAGCTGCCAAAATGTTTTTTTTTCCTATAGAGGGACTAGTTCTTGAGGTTTCTACATGAGCAGCTTTTGAATCATTTAAATCTTTATCAGCACCTTTAAAATCAGTGCTCAGAGTGTGGTTCAATGTTCTGTTGATATTCAGAAGTGTACTCTCAGAAGAAAACGGAGTTTTGCCAAGCGGATCCGAAATCCCTTCTAAGAGATCTGCCGTGGAACTTAAATGCAGAGAATTTGAGGCTAACTGTGAAGATGCTGTCGAGAGGCTCCTGCTGGAGGGAGTAACAGACACCGTGGGTGAAGGTGATGGAAGATTTCCCTCTCCAACTGCACTAAACGGGGACTTGGCCGTGGACACCTCGGAAGCGCCTCCTGTCCTGAAGTCTGGCGAAGTGCAATATACTGGAGGCTGCTTCTCGTGCTTCGATGTTTCATAAAGCCCTTTTTCGYTGGCCGAGTAGCCCTCCTGCGGAACGCATGTGCCCTCCTTAAACATCTCTTTGCCCACATCGGCAATTTCTTTCCGAAGGGAAGATTTTTCCGCTCCGCTTTCTTTGTTCGGCCTCGTAAGGTGCTTCTCGAACGTTTTGCTGGCAGTATTTTCCTTCAGCAAGTCCGTGGCCTCGTGGCTTTCGTGGTGTGGGTTGCAAGGAAGCCTGAGGGGCTCCGAGGCGGGTACCAGCGAGTCTGCGTTCAGAGCGTCCTTGCTAACCAAGCCGACCAGAGGGCCCATTCCTGCCGGCTTCTTCCCAGAATCCTTGCTGACCAGTCCCACCGGGCTGCTAATCCCTGGCACCTTCCTCCCAGCGTCTTTGTTGATGGATCCCATGGGACTGCTGATCCCTGGGGTCTTCCTTCCAGAGTCTTTGCTAGGCAGAACCGTTGCGCTGCCAGTTCCTAGCACCTTTCTCCCCGAATCCTTGTTAACCAGCCCTGTCGGACTACTAATGCCCAGCAACTTCTTCCCGGCATCCTTGTTGATCAATCCTGCTGGAGCGCCAATGCCTACTGGTTTCTTCACGGACTCCTTGTTAGTTAATCCCGTTGGAGTGCTGATGGCGGGCAGTTTCTTCCCCACATCTTTGCTGATTAATCCAACTGAAGAGCTAGTCACTGGCTGTTTCTTCCCAGAGTCCTTGTTTCCTAATCCCGGCGGAGGGCTGATCCCTGGCGGCCTCCTTCCAGAGTCCTTGTTGACCAACCCAACCAACGGGCCGATCCCCGGTGGTTTCTTCCCCGAGTCTTTGTTAACCAATATGGCTGCGCTCCCAAGCCCCAGTGGCTTCTTCCCTGAGTCCTTGCTAACTAATCCCACAGCAATAACTGATCCTGGCAGTTTCTTTACCAGCTCTTTATTAACTAACCCGCTTGCGGTTATGCTTCCTGGTAGCTTCTTCCCAGAGTCTTTAACCAAAGCAGCTGCAGTTCCACTTCCCAGCTTCTTCTGCTTTGTTTTGGAAGACTTGGAAGGAGGGCAAGTTGCAATGAGCTGAGCCAATTTTTCCGTGACAGTTGTCGCTCCGTTAATTTGTGCTCTATCCTTTAGATCAGAATTATGGCTCCCAATAAGAGTCGGAGGCGGCGACTTTATATAATCTGTCATTTCAGACTGAAGCGGAGAAAGTTTCTTGGTTAAAGGGCTCGTTTCTATTTGTACACTGTCTTCCACACGGAATTCAACTGCTGCGACGTCTCCAGCTTTCTTGTAAAATTTGGAAGGATCCTAAAAGTTAATAAAAAGAAAAGATCTTTAGGAATAGAGAAAAGACTCCAAATAACAGGCTCGTTGGGTCTGTTTTCTCTGGAAAAGAGAAGGCTGTGAGGGGATCTGATTAACACGTGTAAGTACATGAAGGGGGAATGCAGAGAGGAAGGGACCAGGCTCTTCTCAGTGGTGGCCAGTGACAGGACAAGGGCCAATGGGTGCAAGCTGAAACCCAGGCAGTTCCATCTGCATGTGAGGAGGAACTTCTGCACTGTGAAGGTGACAAAGCCCCGGGACAGGCTGCCCAAGGAGGCTGGGGAGTCTCTTTCTCTGGACATCTTCCAAACCCRCCTGGTTGCAGCCGGTGCCACTTGCTCTAGGTGTCCCTGCTTGGGCAGGAAGGTTGGACTAGGTGATCTCTAGAGGTCCCTTCCAACCTCAACCATTCTGTGGTTCTGTGATAACACAGCATCTTCATACGCTGAGATTATTATAYCCGCTTTTGATAGGAAGGTGCCTATATCAACACACACTGCATTAACTTGATAATTTTGATGCAACTCTATTTCAGTTGTCCTGTTAAGGATCTTTTAAAAAATGGTAAGAAAACCCAACTCCCAAGAGATTATCTTTGATGTGCACTGGAACTGTTCTTGGCTTCCCTTAGGCTGGAGGGAATGGAAGAGACTTTAGGAGATAATAACGTACGCACAGAGCTTGAAAAYCTTATGGCAGATACTACCTTATGTTTCAAACAGACTCTTTGGGAGTGAAAGACATCACTGCCAAACCCATGCAGCCCCATGCAATGAAAGCAAGTAAATGCACAGCACTTGCTGCAATTAATTACAGCCAGCATTCTGTTCATGATGTTTTACAGAAATGTCAGCACAGTTGGCGACTATTCAACAATACAACTAACTTGGGATTCACTTGGAATTATTTGATAGAGGGCAAACTTTGGCGCTGTGTTCGCTGAGCAGGCTACAGTAGTATGATTTAAGCGGCAGGCTGCGAGCTGGATTTCATAGAACAGGAAGGTGTCATCGATGCAAGTTCCCGGCAGCCACGGGCTCATGTGCTGCAACCCCTGCTGCACAGGACAAGGAAACCTGCAGGTGAGAGCAGTTCCTTGCTTCAAAGCTGGGGGGCAAAAGAGGTTGTGGTGGAGGGAAGAAGAACCTGGCATTTAGCCCAGCTCTTCCAGGGCAGCTGCAATCTTATGCAAATGATGCYGGAGCTTCACATTTGAGGCGCTTCCCCCTGCAGCCGCCCTCCTCCTGCTAGCACAGGTAGCTGGGGCGACGGCCCCGAGAGGTCCTCGAGCCCCGGAGACAAAAAAAAAAAAGGCACCGCTTGTTCTCAAAATCGCTTTTATTGGGCAAACGAGATTGCTCCTTTCCGTGTAACGGTGCGTGCAGGTCCAAAAGAGCACAGGGTGCATGCGGTGAACCCAGTGCTTCGAAGCATCCGCGGCTGCTTGGCCATGGTCTCCCCACCACAAAACTGCCCCTCCGGCCCCTGCTTTTATTTGGGGGTGCTGCTGTCAGCCTGTGCGTGCACAGTGCGCTCAGCTCTGCACCTGCCCCTTGCTGGGGTTCAGCAGAGCGCCCTGCTTCGCTGCACGGGCCCTGCTTTGTGTCAGGGAAAGCACCRAGAGGGATCCGAGCGCAGAGACGGCCGAGCAGGGAGCGCTACCAAGCCCTCCTTAGCACAAAATCACCTCCCTCCGAGGGGTTTTACCCCGGGGTGCTGGGGACAAGCACACGTTTCAAGCCTCTTCGCTGAAGATGTGTGGGTGAGCACGCGCTTTCCAAACGTACCTCGTTCATTTGAGGAACAAAAATTCCAAGGTACTTTGATGTATCTATTAGCAGGTTATACTAAATCATTTTGGAAACATCACAGAAGCCAACAACAGAACTTGCCTTCTGAAAAAAGGAGTTGKCTTGGGCTTCTAACTTTCAAGGATGTGATGAAAATGTGTGTGGCTGTGCAGACTAAGGGATATTTTAAAATGTATTCATCCTTTATTATTTTAGCTGTTGTTCTGCCACCCAGTGCACAGTGTTTAAGACAAATGAGCAGCAGGAAGCACGGAAGCCTCCCCGTGCTCATGCAGTTGTGGTATCAATAGGTACTGCAGAAGTTCCCCAAATAACGGGTGGAAACRTCTCTTTGACACCAAGACCAACAAGGTCTCCCTCAAAGCAAGCATCAGTTAACCACCAGGAATGACACGTGCAATCAGCTCAAGGCAGAAGGAAGAAAGAGAGATTACRCCCCAGAACCTGCACAAAATGTTCCTGTTTGCTAGATGTTCAGGTTAATCAGGAAGAAAAATAAATAAATACGGAGACTTCCTCTGCTTTGCTACCTTTTTGCTTGAAATTTTTCAATTAGTGGCTCTGATTTCATCAGCAGACTTGCCTGCAGTGCTCACCTCCATAACCAGGGGCGACAGAAAGAACTACAGAAAATCTGCACTCAGCAGTTCTACCCAGGGAGAAGGAGATGGAGCAAAAGGGCACGTTCCTTCTTGCTTCCCAGTTTTACTGRGGATACTTTAGAATTACAGCAGAGGCTGTTGCTATCACTTCTTGCCCTATTTGCTAAAGCTTCAGCAGTGCAACCACCACTGGCTGTATTTAGCACATAGGCAGAGCTAAACCACTCGTACACCTCTGGTGTTAAAACTACAGGAACTATGGTTTGTGTTTATTTATCAGGCTCGCGCTTCCAAGCCTAGAAAGATGCACAAGAGCCATACGGTACCGTCTATCTGGACACACTTCTGGGAGGAAAAAAAAAGAAAATAAAAACCAATTTAACACTAAGTGTTAAAGAACAAATTCAAGGCTGTTTTGCTACTACAGTAATTTTTAATTTTGTTTCTCTAAACACCTAGGAACCTGGGAAACGTAGCCATTTCTAMGTCTCCGTGCAGTAATTTTCTCTGTAGAAGACTATTAACTTCATTGCAAAAGAGAAAGGCTTCTTCCATTTATCCTATTTTCCCTATCTGTAATAGCTGCTCTTACTTGTCACACCTTGCATATCATAAAATGAGACATCCTCAAGGGCAGGGCTATCTCCTTACACGTGGAAAATACCTTTCTTCTGCATAGAAGACTAAAAATTGCACTATTACTTTTCAGGCATTTACACCAATATTCAATTGACATCAACACAGAAATGATTTCTCCCTCACAATTGAAAAAAGGTGTTGCTAAGATGTTAAAGAACTTTTTGGGGGTGTGTGGTTTTTTTTCTTTTTTTTTTGCTGATCAGGATGAAATCAAATAATTTCTAACTCTAGCATCTTCAGCATTAGAAGTTACACGAGAAAAAAAAATCTGTAGAATATGACTATGCAGCATATCAGATTCTTCTAAGTTAGAGTTTAAATGGGCCAAAACTCGCAGATCAGTTCAGAAACACACTACTCACTTGCTTTGAAGGACAATGTTCATTCTTCTCCTCTGTCATCTTCCCACTCTTGGGTGCCCTCCGTGGTTGCTTGATGCTGGTTTTTATAGCAGGTCGGCACACATAATTCTCCAGGTTCTTCGGGGGCTTCTTCGTTCTCTTAGCTTGAAGGCCAATCTTGAGTTTCAAGTTGCCCTCTGAAAAGTTTGTTTCCTTCACCGAAAACTGTTGCTGTGCGTCAGTTAGAGCCTCATTCTTCCCGTTTTCCGTACTGCTCCCCTCCCGATTCTTCTTCTTCCCGTCGTCTTCTTCCTGGGTGCAACTTTCTAGCTCTGCTTCTCCCTTTCCCACCAACGGGCCAACGTTTATTACAGAGGGGCTCTTCCCACAAAACCCTTCAGAATCAGAACCCAAGCCTAACATAGCAGTATTCCGAGGGTCCATCACAGGCCTCCGGGTACTTTTAAGGAAGGTTTTACAGAGACGTGTTCCACAGACGATGTGTTCTCGTACTGGTAGCCAGCATCTTTTACTCTGTAGAACCAAAAGAAAAACAAGAGTCAGCTGCAATTTTATAGCAGAAATAAAATAAATATTAAAATTGAACACTTGAAATGCTGACGTAAACTTTGATTTAATCACTGAGTAACTTTTTTTCCTGTAGTCAGAGCCCAGCAACTCCGAGTACTGCCACTCTTCTCCCTCCACTGATGAAGAGCAAGAAGTCTGGGTTCCCCCTTGCATTTTCAGCAGTGACTTGGAAGAAAACAAAAAACTCACCACAGAAATCTGCGGATGATGGAGAGTGGGTGTCCTGACAGCTCCCAAAGAGGACAAGTGACAGGTTGCTGTACAAGGTAAACGGGCGGATGCCAGAGCAGGATGTAAGAGAAGGGACAAGGACCTTACAGACCTGGGCCTTGAAACGCAGCGCTGCTCGGAAGGGCTTTAGGCCCGGGATGAACAGGACAACCTGGTGAAACACAAGAGCCACAGCACATACCCAGCCCTGGCGCCACCATGAAGAATGAAGAAAGAAGGGGTCTTTTTGTCACCGCTGTGGTGACACGTGGCCCAGGTGCCGCTGGCCCTGCAGGTGTCACGGACCCGACCACGCCACAGCAAGCACCCGCGGCTGCAGCGGCAGCCAGGGAGAAAAGCCCTCTCTAAATGCAAATACACGAGAAGCAGGTCTCAAAAAACACCAGCAGACCCATGAGGATGTCACCGCAACTAAATCAGCCTAATTTTCGGCTCTTATCTGCTGATAAGGCTAAATCATAAGGAAGGTGATGAAAAGAGGGTGGACAGCTGAGTTTCATTTCCCCTCACACGCACATCTGCTAAACAGAAATCTGGGCTCCTAGGTTAACTGCCAAACAAGCCATCCTGAAGTAGCTGCTTGCACGTTTGCATACGAGATCCTCATAAATAACCACAAGGAGAGCCACAAACACATTGCATTTTTAAGGAATAAGTCTACTCGGTCCTGCATGCCAACCATCAATTATTAGGAGCTTCTCAGTCAGTTTCAACCCAATTTTGCAAAGGTGGCTGTGGGCACTTAGTGCAGAGAGAATTCAAAAGAACTGGTTGCTAAGATGAAGCTGAGATCTATATTCATATCCTCCCTGCAAGGAAAGGTGCTCAATATCTCTGGCATGTGGCCTCCTGGCAGGTCATCACACCCAGCACTGCGCAGCAGGTCCTGGAGCCACAGGGATTTCTAGCTGCAGTTGGGACTTTGCAACGAAGAACATCCTGCAAACCCACAAAAGGGTTATTTATATACATGTATACATTATATCGAATGTATTATTACACAGGTGAAAGCAGTTTTATAATGCAAATCCAACAAGAGGAGAGAATCCCACGGACTGTCACAGGATACCAACAGCTCCAGGGTTCACTCTGCTGCATTTGGCCCTGCATGGACTSGGCAGCGGGATTTTAAGGAAGGGAAGGGCTACACACGCACACAGCCAACTGCAAGGCCAAGGCAACGTGCTCCTCCGGAACCAAAGGCTAAGAGAGAGCCGCATGAAAACCCTCTTCTGCAACAACACAGAATTAGCAACTATCCTGGAAGCAAAGTCACAAAATCGGTGGCTCTCATGAGCATGTACCAGGTCATTTTATTTATCCATTAATTCCTCTCTAGACAGACAACAAAAATGCTAATCCTGAACCTAATCATCGTTTTGCCTCAATTACTGTAATCTTCTTCTCTCCGACTCTCCAATTACCCCACTCTAATTCATAGAAAATGTGCCTGCCAAATTGATCATTTTCATAACCATGAACTGATTGGGGCTCCTCTTGCTGAAGCCCAGGGATACTTTTTCTTCCCGACTTCATCGTGTCCAACCTTGCAGTCGTTGCCTCTCAGGTGCATGGTATGCTGGTTCTTCAGGCGTTCCTGCACCTTGGTGCTTTGTTTCACCAGCAATGACTGCTCTATGTTTTCCACTGCTTTTTCTGTGCATTTCACATGCTCCTCCTGCATCCAAAACCGCTTTCCTCATCCTCCTTTCTCCTCCTGCTTGATCCTCCTTTCTTCTCCTGCTTGACCATCTCCTTGTGGATGTCACGATACGGTTGAGCAGCCCAACACCAATGAGGTGCTTCAGGGGCAGCTACAAAAGCCTGCAATTTATTTACTCAGAACAGTCCAAAGATTTGGTCCTGGCGAGGCCCACAGTGTGTCTATACAATCTGCATTCCTGTATCCTCACCTCCTGTGTTTGCTGCACCGACAGCTCCTGAGGCTCTGCAGACCCCAGCAGGTCTTTCCAAAAGGGGCATCACTCAATCTTTAGGTCAAAAGTGGTGAGAACAGAAACTGTTCTTCCCCTTGAGACTCTGTTCCAAGGGCTAATCCCTCTTTTCCAACAACTTTCATCCATCAGATCTTATGCTACTAAGCAATCTAGTATCAGATCTCTACATAATCATACTAGTTTTGATCACAACACATCCAAACCCCCTCCCCAATACGCAAAATAACATAGAAATTCCAGCCTCTCATCCACTAGATTCAGGAGACCTCAAATTACTCCTGTAAGAGTAAAAACAGGAAAAAYAGGACGCATTTTAACATCCCTTTGACATGCGCTAACTGGAGCTCAATGGTGTGCATTAATGATTATTCTTGTGCCATACGCAGTGTTTTAACTCCTATTATTCATTCTTATTCCCCCGTCGACACATCCAAAGCCCCATTTGCCCATCATCATCTATGATTTCTGCTCTCCAGATCCCCTGCTTTTCCAGAATAAATGCCAGGGGTTGACCTATGCCGTCAGCTCCTAGATATATGATTTTTCTCCCCCATTAGCAATATTAAAWGCGTTTTTTTTCCCCTCTATCTAGTTCACTATGAGTGCCTCATTTCTGCTACTACTTGCACTGAATCCTGCAATCCTCTATTTTGACGTTAAGCATTTTTCAGCTGTAAAAAGAAGGTATTCTCTCTGAAACAACGTGGTATCTTTGATTTATTATGAAATTTTCCCCATAGCTCCATGTTCAGGGGTCATTTAGCAAAAATCCGCAGTGTCTGAAGTCCCAGGACGTAACCAGTAACTGCATGTCCTGCCACATTTCCTTCTAATCTTCTGATCTCTTACCCTAACTGAAGAGTTTGCAAACACAAAACTGAATTCTGCCTCCCTGGATCATTGCTTTAACTGCTCCTATATAAATTCACATGCAAAGGCTAAATATGGCACAGTAACAACTGCATTTGGGAGGACTAAAGGCTCGCAATAAAAAAAAGAAATAAGGAAAGTCACATAAAGGATGCTGTGATAATTCCCCTGAAGTTCTCACAGGCTCTGCAGCCACGATTCAGGACCCTCCCGAGGGGCCCATCTCTGCCCTCGATGGCTTTTTCTGACCTCCGGCTCTATTATTTATACCCAACCCAATAACAGAACATGTAAGGACAACCGCAGCGCAGCATTTCTCCTCACATTTTGTTTGAAAACTATGAGGTAAGAAGGACAATCTCTGGGACCACAATGGCAGGAGAAAGGAGAAAAGCGGGGGGAGAAAATCATAATAAAAAGCCTGCATTTCATCTGGCAATAAACCCACCGTCATCCAGCAGCCCCACATGCTACTTCTATTTTCCTCTTGCAATAACAACACTGCAATCGATATCCATCAGCCCCGAGCGCCGTGCTGTTTAAACGGTTTAAACTTCAGCAACTTTTCCTTTCGGCAAGTCGTGACTAAACCGTTCTGCTATCACTGAAACACGAAGCGCTTCCCAGGCGAGCGGCGATTGCCCGCAGCAATCGAACACAGTACAGTCCAAAAAGGGAATCTGAAGTGATTTTATCTTTGAAACCAAGAAATATTACAGGAAAATGAGCCGTTTTATACAGCTTGGAAAAGCTGCTGAGGCAGTTTTGGTTAAGGAGGTTTCTGGAGCTGCTCAAGGGGGCAGGGAGATGAACATAGGGACCATCGCGACCGACAGACTCCAAGAGCCGCTGGGTTCTCCATTGGCACAAAGGCAGGACGACGGCTCCAAATGTCTTCCCGGATTCACCCCCAAAGCTACAAGCTCCCCAATTCCTGGARAAAAGATCACATCCGCAAGCGGAGCCTACACTAACACAAGCCAAGAAAAAAATAAAAGAAAGGCAGATTGAACAAGAAATAAGGTGGGAAAAAGGTGCCCAGCTCTCGAGGTTCATTGAAACGCACGTTCGCAGGCACCCAACTGCGGTTCCCAAGGGTGTCCCAGGCAGGCAGCGAGGATCTGGGATTTCCCGTTTGTTGGGAACGCGAATGCGTGTCCCGCGGCCATGGACGGCACCCGCGCGCCGGGCGGCTCCTGCTGCCGGGCTTGGCAGTTAACCGGAGCCCGAGAACCGCAAACCGGGGGCGAAGGGGAACATAAAGAGCGGGAGCAGTGGCAGAGTCRCAAGGTTATCGAAGCGGGGTCGGAGAAGGCCAGAAACGCGTTTCAGCTTCCGAGCTGACGGATGGGAAGGGGCTATGGGACGCCAGGCTCGGGATCCCGGTCAAACGGAGCGCGGTGGGACGTGATGCCGGCGCTCCAGTTTTGGGGCGGTTTGGGGGGTTTTGCAGCCCGGCCTCCAGCTCCCGACATCGCGGGGGGGGGGCGGGGCTGCCCCTGCCCCCGCAGCAGCGCCCGGCGGCCCCGGAGCCCCCCCCGCCCCGCACCCGGCGGGGACGTTGGGGACCCGCGGCGACAACTTCC